GAAAATGATAACAGAACTTTCCTATGAGGCCATTAAGTGATTATTTTAATTTGTTGATCAATGATATGCTCTTTAAAAACACAAATGCCACTTAAACCATTACTTCTTGTAGGAATGAGCTTTTTTCTAGTAGCCAGAGCTTGGAGTTTGTGTGGAAACATGACAACATTCAAATATGTGAAAAGATTCTGAAAGAAAAGCGCAAACACAGGGAGGCTAGATCAAACATTAGTAGCTTTGGAATTACTTAACAGTGTTCAAAATATGTAATTCTTTAATTTTTTTTTTTTTTTTTCTGTAACTCCTTCAGTGCCTACTCATGATGGCCTCAAGTTGTATCAGGGGAGGTTCAGTTTGGATATTTGGAAGTATTTCTTCTCAGAAAGAGTGGTGATGCATTGGCACAGGCTGCCCAGGGGTGGTCCCTGGAGGTGTTCCAGAACTGTGGAGATGTGGCACAGAGGGACATAGTCAGTAGGCATGATGGAATGGTTTGTGGTTGGACTTGAGGATCTTAGAGGTCTTCTCTAGCTTTATTGATTCTGTGATTGTATACTTCTTATGCTGATTTGTTCAATACCGTACTATTATTGTTACAGAAACTCTTTTGTCATAGAATCATTATTGTTGGAAAAGACCACACAGTCCAACAGCTCATTGTCCCCATGCCCACTAACCATGTTCCCAAGTGCTCCCAGGTGCCACAGTGATGCTGCAGAGCTATGGTTGTAGTCACCATTGTAGTCGTGGCTATGATTGTAGTCATGGCTAAGAATTCTGCAGAAAACATTCATACTACTTCATTAGTGCAAAACAAATACATTAACAGAGAAACTCAGAGGTGAAGCACAGCTTCAGAGTTCACCAAAGTCAAAACTGGAGTAGCAGCAATGCACATAGAAGCAGTTGCCTAAAATTATTGGTGTTGTCATTTGGTGAATGCTAGCTGGTAAAGTACAGATAGGAGACAGTGAATTTGCATTTCAGTTTTGCAGTGGTATACACATGCAGTGGTATTATATGAGGTACAAGTGCAGGAAATGTTGTGCCCCAGATGTGAGGAAATGCTTATGTGGTATAGAGGACATTTTTTCATAAGGCTGGACACAACACTTCTTGACTACTCAAGAGAAGCCTTTGCTCCTGTCACTAGAAAGATGATTGGTGACTAATTCTCCCATGTGCTTGGGGAATTATTGGAACAGAGTTCTTCTAAGCAGTCGTACTTGGTCCCATGCCACCCAACACAAAACCCTTGCTAAAAACTCAGATAGACTATTTTCATAGGCTGCTTTTCACGTCCTTGAGTTGAGCAGAAATTCTAGAGGAAGAAAGTAAATGTAGAGCTGTGGTGTATAAGGTCATATCTGAAAATTCTCAGACAGTAGAGTGCGGGAAACTCAATTTATCTGTCTTAGAAAGATGAAGAGCTGAGTCAACCCTGCTGGGATTAAAGTTCTCACATTGTTTCATGCTATATAAAACATTTTTTCATCACCTTGAAATATAAAGCTAATATCCGAAGCAAAAATGGGTACCAGTACATTGTGATATCAGTTAAGTCGAGGTATTTGATTTTGGTCGGTTGCTGCCTTCTGATTTTCCTTCTAAAGGGCTCAGTGAACAGCTTTTGTTTAACAGGAAATGGAAAGCAGTTTTCATCTTGGCAACCGGCCCCAGCACTCTCAGTGAATACAGTCCAGGGTTTTTTTGCTGGAGTGGTTTTCCCGTTGTTGCTTTTGTCAATGGTTTTTATAGGATCTCCATAATAGAAAGATGTTGCAAGGATGAGCAGGAGCTTGTCATGGTTTGATTTGTGCTGCTGTCACAGAGTTACCTCTACATCTATCTGTGTCCATGACAGGCAGGCAGCAGGCCCACTGGCCTGAAAAGGGTGATGATGTGTCAATGGTTTACGGGTTGGTTCGGCCCAGTTTTGTGACTGATAGGGCAGGGGACCCACGCCTGGGAAAAAGGGAAGGATAGGAATACGGGAGATGGGCCTAAACGCAGAACAGTGGCAACAATCTGAGGAGAAAAGTTAATTTACTGAATATGATATTGGAATGCAGGATAACACAATGTAGTGCAATGTATAATTGGAACTGAGGTTAATAAATAAAATGAGAGTGTCTGAAACCGAAGGTCTGACTCTGAATTGAAAGCCAGATGCTGGGGAGCACACCCACACACTGTCAGGAAGAGAGAAACACAGAGAGTCCTGTGACTGGCAAGTTTTATCTTTCCCTCTGAACACAAAGTGTTTTGGGGTATATGTAGTTCTCTTCTCTTCTGAGAACCAGGTACCCAGAAAATCGTCAGTCCATGGAACTGGAGTATTAACTCTTTAATTCCTTGTACTTTACATGATGTTATGATGTGGAATACCAATAACAAAAATCATAAGACCATAGCATTCATGTTATCAATGGAAGACAGAGCCAAATATATGCTGTATACATCCAACTATTGCTGTCAGACCTCAGATAAAATGTTTGAAGTGAAGTTGATAATTTTCTGAAAGTGCTTTTTCTGTGCTTTAACTTGTTCTGTCCCCACACTTTCGAAGACCATCAGTCAAAGTAAACTGTCTTAAATTGATGATGTCTCTACTGTATACTTTGTTTATCTGTGGTAGAGATCCTGATGCTATTTCAAAGAGGTAATACAGGTATTATAGATTACAAAAGATCAGTATCAGAATATTAAACAACTCCTCTGTGTGGCTAGAGGTCAAGATAGCTTGTCTTTCAAAAAAAGACATCTGAAAATTTGTGTACTTTCCATAGGTGTTATAACTTTATCCTTCTGTAGATCAACTACAGCTTATACCAGATAACAGTTTTACATGTACAGATTTCATATGATGATAAATCCCTTTAAAATAGATGCAGATGTAATTTGTCAGGTATAATGATGTCTATAAAGGCAGTGCTTGCATCATGAGGTGCTTATTATTTATGTTGGATAAGGAGAATATATTTTTAAAAACACAATATAAAGCTGTATGATGATTATAAAAATATGAGTTGGCAGAAAAGGAAGGAATGAATACTGCAACTGCTGAAGTGTTTCTATTGAGTGCTTAGTTTGTGCTTTGATTTTTAAGTCTTCTAACAGGAAGATGGAAACTAAAAAAGAAACGTTACCAAAAAAAACCTTATCACACTTTGCAGTCATTATGCATTGATATTGTAGGGGGAAGCTGATGAAGAGAGGTAAAGAGACCTGAATATTTCTGAGGTGCAAGGTAGTAATATCATCAGACATGAAAATCAAGGACTGTTGGCATCACACTTCAAATAATTTCCTAAGGATTCTTAGATGTGAATATTTTTCTATTTCTATTTCTCTTCCCTCTCTCCTTGAGAGGGGTGATTTGCTCAGTGTGTGTTGGTAGGGTTTGCTACTTTAGTGAAAAGCAAATACCTAGTGTAGGGAACCTGCTTTGGTAGGGGGGTTGGACTCGATGATCTCTGGAGGTCCCTTCCAACCCCTATGATTCTGTGATTCTGTGAAAACATGCACGTTTCTCTTTAGATGTTCAATCATTGTTTTGCTTTACTGCTAACATTTTATTTAGGAGAACAAAGGAGAGAAATGAAGGAGTTATTTTCAGAAGTTGGGAATAGAGAGATATGGTGTAGTGATGGGACTGGGTATGCTGATGGTTGGACTTGATGATCTTGAAGGACTTTTCTAACCCAGTTGACAGGATCCTATATGCTGCTCTACTCAGAGTGCAAGGTTATATTTTTCCTAGCAGTTCCAAAGGCACAGTGTCAAAGCAGGTGTCCCTACAGCTTCTTCTATCTGCTTTCACATTAGTCTCCTGATGGGGATTTTTAGGCAACCTTATAATAGGTTTACTTGCAGTGTTCATAAAAAGATGTTGGCTTTCTTTAAGCCTGGTCTCACGTTTTGAAAATAACATCAGTGCATAAATAAAATATCTGAGAGTTACATCAGCATAAGTGGAGAAGAAAAGGTATGCACAGAGACTGACAAATCTACCCAAGAATAAGACAGAAAACTGTCTTGCAGGTTCTACCTGTTTTTGAGCATATGTACGTCCAACTGTATGGGAAAAAACAACAGGCAGCAGGTTTCTGCACCTGGATTTAGACATGCACTGAAACTGCTGGTGCAAATTTAGTAAAGAATTAAATACCACCGTAACTTGGCTTAATGACATGATTAAAACTGCAGTGAACAGTTTGGGCTGTAAGCTTTTCAACTTTTTTAAATACATTAATCTACCAGCACTGGAATTGGTCTTCTTGCCAAATATTTAATTTCTGAACAGTTTGTGAAGACGGTTACACCACAGGGAAATCTTACTCTTGTCTGTTAATTTTGGGATGAGTGTAGATGGCAGAAATAACAACCAGACTATAAAAAATTCATGCTATCAAGGATTATGTATTTTTTTCTCCTGAATATGAGAAGAAATATATTGGAAACTTTTACATGAATAAGAACACCAAGAGGTCAAAATGCAGCTAGCTGGCCTTTATCAAAAAAATTTTGATGACATGCAGTACATTAAGTTGTGAATTTTAATGGCCAATTCCCCTGCATTTCATCACGTTGGCTAAGTGTTGACATCCTTCACCTTCACACTCAATTGTTACAGTGATTTACTGAGAATGATATTGAGCTATGCCCTTGACAACAGTTGAGGATTAGGGTGTTTTTTTCTTATCTTTTTTGCTTAGTACATCCAGTCTAAATTGTTGCGATTGCTGGTGTGGTTTAGAGGTTTTCTATGTGCTCTCCACTTCCTGCAAAAGCATGTTTTAATGCAAAGTTGTAGGTTTTCAGAATTTTGTCAGAGAGGATATTGCAGCATGATGCAACTATCATATCATTTTGTGTCTTTTCCAGTGACTTGGAGGTGTTATCCATGTGTAATATGAAACTGGTGTGATAACATAGATAAAGTATTCAAATGATCCTTTAAAGTGTCACTAAGTCTGTAATAAAACTTCTTTCCTCAGAACAAAAGCCTCAAAAACAAGCTGCTGTCAGGAAACAAGCTTTGTGGTATTCACGCAGAAGAGGTAAGGAAGGTTTTTCTCTATTTCAAAGTTAGCATACCCAGAAGAATGTCATGTCAGTCTTTTGCACTGAGATTCTGCGTAGATTATATATTATGCATGCATGATCATTGAATCATAAAGATTTGGAAAGACCTCTAAAGTCATCAAGTCCAACCATCAACCCATCACCACCACGATGTTTATAAACAATTCAAACTCATTTCTGTGACTACACTATGGGCAACTCAAATATGTTAGCAAGCTGCAAACTCAAGTTTTGTACTAATACAGTTTGGGAATGGTTATTTCACATATATAAAGCTCTTGAAGTATACGTTTTGCTCTATAATGTATGTTAAGCTAATTTTATTTCCCTAGTCTTCATGCCTAGAATAAGACAGGAATTGTTAAATGCCTTTTTGAAATAACTCATAGAAACACGAAAGATTTATTATTATTGATCCTTATAACATTTCATTATTTCAAGGGAAGTGTCATATTAGAAAATATCTCCTCTGCAGGCAAAAATAGCCGATGATATAAAAAAACCTGTTTTCCCTAAGTGCCCAAGTAACTGTATTCATAGGAGCAGTCCTTTTAGCTATTTACCTTTTTGTGAGAGTGGCTATTTCTACATATGAATCTTACTTAGTCTTTTACATGACTTCAGTCGTGGATTTCATCTGCAGAAATAACTTCTGTGAAGTCCATTTCATGTTGCCAGAATTGAACAGAAGCATAACAGTTCTTTACTAAAATTATCATAGTTAAGGTGGGCCACGTTTTCTTCAAAGACTCTACTTTTGTACCTAGACAGACAAACTTATGAGGTGCAAGCAGTGATTTCCAGTTGTACTGGCTATTTAGCCTAGATGAAGTTCTGCAACCACTTCTTCAGACATAAGCTTAACAGTCGGTAACACTGGGTATTTTTTTGCTAGCTTTTCAGAATCTGTTACCTTCCTCTGTCATCACTGTTGTTTTCAAACATGCCAGAGTATTTGAGTACAAGTATAAATACTCCCCTTGTTTACCGCTAAAACAATTGGCAATGTTCAACACAGCTTGCTATTTACCCTTCCTATTTGAATTTGGTTTTCCTAGTTGCATTAACATCTCGAATATTAGGTAATTAACTTTTAGATATTTTCTCTGATGATTTACTATTTACAGCATGTCTTTAAGTCTAAAGGTGAAGTCTAAAATTAAATGAAATTTATTGTTGCATGAGAACCATTGCTGTCAGAGGATTTTAGGAAACCAAACCCTTAGCTCACCAGTATTCAAGGCAGCAGATAGCGAGTGTATTTTAAACCTTAAAAGTTTTAGACTTGATGAATAATCCTGACAAATTTATGGATTTAAAGAGGGTTAGTGCCATTAGAATAAGCAAAAATGCTACTACAGGACCATCTATTTATTTTTTTGTCATTTTGCCAGAGTTAGGTTATATAGGCCAGAGAAATGCAGTCTATTTGCTGCTCTTTAACTAGGTTCAATACTTCAAGCATAATAACTATGTAAAATCAATATTCTTTTAATAATGAGATCAAACATATTTCATGTGTAGAATTGCCTACCAGGAAGCTCATGCTTCTTTCCTCTCTCCCAAACTGTGTGCAAACAGTTTCATTCTGCTCTGAAGATTGTTTTGAAGGTGATGCCTCCAGTTACGCTTTCATGTTCTCAGAACTTGCTGTCTTAAAAATAAATATTTGAAAAAAAAAAAAAAAAAACAACTAAACCCACTGATTGTATTATCCTCACTTTCAGTCAAAAAAGATCCAAGCCCAGCTGAAAGAACTTCGCTATGGCAAAAAAGATTTGATTTTCAAGGTGAGTTTTCTTTCAACATAGTTTAGCTAAGTTATTAGAGTTGCTGTAATGTTGAAGTCATCTGTGTGTATAACAACTGCATTTATTGCTATATTTTTAAGGAATCGTTTACTTCTCTTGATACTGAAAAGAGCTAACACCACCAAAGACGAGAATAGTACCATAATTTCAGAAATGCTATTTTCTGTTGTGTTGGATTTTGTTTTTCATTTGCAAACCACTCTAATTGGAAAAGTGTTTTTTATTAAATTGCTCTCTGGGTCAAAGAAGAGAAGCTTCAAAGCCTAAATTTGTATGCAGTATATTTCAGAATATATAGAAATAGTGTAAAATAGTTTATGAATATCTGCATACTGAGATAAAACAACATTCCAGTTCCTTGCTGGAAACCAAAATATATTACCTATTCCATAGATTCTGTGATGCATTTTATACTTTACAGGTGGATCTTGGCTGCTAATTGAGTAGTGCTTTCATTTCCTGCATAAATGATGGGGATAAGTAGTCATCCCCCAAGTGCCTAGAGCTAGACTTACTTAAAAGGTAACTGAACTCAGTGTGAGGTCCATATTTCTTCTGAAAAGCATAAAATAGAATATTAGAGCCACCAGCTACAACATGTCCCCCGGGTTAGTCAGGGTGAATTCTGCTCTGAATGCTCTTTCTGACAAAATAGTGAAAATGTTTACATTGCCTTTTGGGGAGACAATGAGCTAATTGAGTTAAAAACTCTTTGAGAACTTTAGATAAATACAGTTAGTAAACTGAGAAAAGGATTGAGAAGTTCCATCTCCTGAGAAGTTCATATGCAAATATCTAAAATACCTCTTTACTCTTCAGTTTTGTTCTGTGATTCTGATTTGCTCATTTGTTATATCTTCTACATGTAGTCAGAAATACCTTTGTTAGACTTCTTCCTGACTAAAGGACATTTCATTTACGGAGAAAAAAATAAATAAAAATGGAACTCCAATGGAATTTATTTTGAAGATATTTGTGAGAAGAAGAAGGTTTTTTAAATTTTATTTTTAATAATCAATACTGAGAACTGTGTTTTTAATAATCAACTTTAATGAGAATGTTCTTTAAGAACTTTCTTATGTTCTGTTAACTGTTGTCAGTGAGACTTCTAGTTAGAGCTTTGGGGAATAAGTGAGAAAGGAAGAAGAGCTGGGGGAAAGACAGCTCTTTCCTAAATACTCCAATGAATTGGTAGATTATATCTAGTTTTAACACTGTGAGACAGTAACTTAAAAAGTGGTAGTAAATACAACATGAATTCTTCATTTTTGGCACGTATTTACTCTTCCTATGTTTTCAAAGTGCATTGTAGTGTATTGGATTAATTATGTAACATGTCTATATGTATGTATCTGTGTCTTTTCCTATGTATCCATACATGTGATATAATGCCACGTGTCGGAAGGAGACACAACAGTTAGGTGATGTGCTCAAGACTATATTTGTTGTCAGTATATCTGTTGACATTACAATCTGAGTTCCTAACTCTTTCTCAGCATTTGGTCCCTTAAAACATGTGGAGCAGTAACATTGAGAAACTGACAGAACTGGAAATCTACTTTGTGTTATAACAAGGAAAATAAGGAAGAATTAATGTTAAATTTTCAGTCACCTTTTTAAATTTTATAGTTGCCTGTGCAAGTGAGCACCTAATAGTTTTAAATGAGTCCATTCTCAATTACAATAGTTATCCTAAATCCTTGATTCAGTTAAAGTACTCTTTAAGTTTAAATGCTTTGCTAAATTGAAATCAACATTTGTTTTAGTCACTCATGACCACTTGTTTCCAAATTTAGTTCTTCTCCAATCCGTTTTCCCATCATTTGACTATATTTTCCTTGAAGTCACATTTTTACTAAATTAGAAAGGATTTACAGATTTTTTTTGTTGGTGGTCCTGAAACACAATCATATGAATGCTTGATGTGAATGTCAGATGAAGAAAAATAAATCCAGCATTGACTTTCGATATCAGCGTGTATAAGTCTCTTGTACTCCTGAAATTTTTGTTCTTCTCAATGTATATGATGCAAGTGGTTCACTATTACGACTTTACTATTGTTTTTTGCTTTGTGATGAATTCCTAAGGATTCTGCTTAGAAGTTTCAGAAATATGTATTTCATCTTTTCCTTCTGTAATTTTAAGTCCTGGAGCAAAATATATAGTTAACCACTCATTTATGAAGACAGCCTAAATATAATGCCCTGACCAGTGCATCATCAACTACTTTGTCAGGTAAACACCTGTACATGTCTTACATGAGCAAGATAGGCTATTATTATGGACCTTCTTCTGAAGTGCAAACCACACCTACTTCATTGGTTACACAAACATGGTTCATTACTGATGTGTAGTTGTCCTAACCCTAGTTGCAGTTGACATCTGCTGCTCACAAAGGTCTGTTTGTTACTGTGGCAGTACTCTTGGGCCCAAGCAGTTCTATAAACTGTGACATCACAAGCAAAAAGCAAGATGTAAACTTTGCTTCTGTTTTCTGTGCTTTTAAATAGTGTTTTCAGGTACCTGAGAACTCAGTAACTCTGACAGACTAGAAAGTACTATGTCATTTGGAGTAGATGGCCTTCAGAGATCCCTTCCAACTATAAAGATTCTATGATCCTATGATCTTCTCAAACTTGGGCTTGTCTAAAAAATAGTTGCAGAAAAAGCTGCATGAAAAAGAGAAGGCAGGTTAAAAATAATGTTCCTTTATATCAAGCATTTGTTTCAAGATAGTATTTAGGAAACACCTGAAGTGACTTTATATGGAAGGGGCAAGGAAAATGTTTAAAACTTAACTGAAGTCTGCTATTTAAGGTCAAAATGGTTTTCCAAATTCTTTGAAACACATCATGCTACACCAGTCATTTCATTATTTGGGTGTATGGAAATCATTCAAAACTGTGTTCTTGGAATGGTCATAGACTTAAAGAAAAATGAAATGAAATCGTGAAACTGCTTTTGCCTCATACTGACTGAATGTGCTAAATCATTCCCCTCTGTAAAGAAAAAATGATTCCACAACGTGTTTTCGTATGTCATTACATGCCACAGTAAACCTATTTCCCAGAATTGCATAGACACGTAGAGAAATAAATAATTTGCATTTCCAACAAAGGAGGTGGTGAAATGATTAAAGAAAGTGGGGTGGGGAGACAGACAGCGAAGTCCAAATTTAGCAGAGAACTCTTATGTTAAACATTTAAATATAAATGACATTATTACATGGCTTGAAAAAAATATTACTTCTCTACTTTCAAACCTCTGAGAACCTTTTGCGTAATGTTTGATTAAGTGCATGTTGTTATTTCACAATGCTTGTGTAGTTGGTTTTAGGAAGCCTACAGCAGTTCAACCAAGCAGTTTATGTATTTAATCATAGAATCATAGAATTGCTCAGGTTGGAAAAGACTTTAAAGATCATCAAGTCCAACCACTACCTAACCATACTACCCTAACTTTAACAACCCTCCACTAAATCATGTCCATGAGCACCACATCCAAATGGTTTTTAAACACATCCAGGGATGGTGACTCAACCATCTCCGTGGGTGGGAGGCTAGGCAGGCCTTTGAATGTTAACTCTTCTTCTGTAGTCTGCAGCACTATTTATCATGTAAAACACTTGCCAGTCTGTGGCTGCTGCTACATCCATCACTTTCTATTCCTTTTATGCACAAAAGTTCACTATTACTACGCCTGTGTTATTGCCATCTACTCAATAGCACATGGGTAGCTGCAGTACAGTGGTGATTCTGCAATGGATTATTCCTCTGAGAGAAAGATGGCCATCTCACTGCTCAGTTGTTGCAATGGTGTTCAAAGCATGAGGCTCAGCTTCAGCTCCCCACTTCCCAGCTCTGCAGACCCCTCTTTGAAGTGACTAAGATAGTGTTCGGTAAGATTATTACTGACACAGACATCATCTGGTTTCAGCTTTAATGCTGAAAGCAAAGAGACCGGGCATGTGTCTCAGATACTGATGTTCCCAGGATCAATCCAGTAGACTTTTAAGGATGGATTCAGACCATATTTCTGCCATCTGACAGACACTTAGTTTGACTGCGCAGCACTGGCGCACATTCAGAAGATTATCTTCCTAACCAATCTTGGGCACTTCATTAAAAATGCCACAGCTTTAATTCTGAAGAAGAAGCCAGGGAGATGTTGATAGGAATCACTGAGTACTGGCTCCAGCTGAGCTCTGTGGACACATCTGAGTACTGGGTGCTGCTCAGCTGGGAGGACAGGCAGGTTTTAAAGGGGAGGAGAGAAGTGGCTGAGCAGAGGCAGAGTGTGTGAGACCCATCTGTTTCTCTTAATCTGCTCTGTTTCATCATTTCCCTTGGCCAGGAGCAGAAGTTGGAAGGCCATGCAAGCTTTATCCTGCTTTGGTCTATTAGCCTTAAAAATAAGAAATGTCTTCATATATCTGCCTTACTGAAATGGAAATCAGCATGTTACCATACCATTTCACATAGACTTAGAAAGTAATTTTATTTTCTTTTTCTTTCATAACTATATTTGGTAGTTATTATCCTAGATATTAAAATAATATATGTAGGGATTGGACTTGTTTATGGTTTTTTCTCTAGTTCTGTTTCTCAATATTAGTTCTCATACCATTAAGGCTGCGCATTATTCTCATCTGAACATGTTTCCTTCGGTCTGTGCCCATTTGCAATGCCCTGAAGTGGCCACAGAAGTCTAACTCAGTGTGGGTCATTTCACCCACACTGAGAAGCGTAAAAACATTTTTGTACTCTGTACTCACAGTGTTCTGTGCTTTACAAGAACATGACACATTCTGTGGTGATGTCATCTTGAGTCATCCATCCCTGCTGTTTTATATTCTGTGTTTGTTTCAGTGATTATTCCTGTCTGTATTTAATATCTTGCACTCGTCTTTAGGGAACGTCATCCTATTTTCTCCAGTTTGTCAAGATAAATATATGAAAAAAATTATCATTTGTGACACG